TCAATTCTTAAATACTTTGCAAAACAATATATAATCAGTATGAACATTTATTTGAAAAATGATCTACATTTCCTACAAATTCTACAGAAATATTATCATTAAAAGCTATGCATATCTTACCAGTTCTTTCTGAAATTCCATCAAGGGATAACCAGTTGTTTCCACAATGATAACAACCTGCATTATCACTTCTGAATTAAGCTGATGAAATACAAGGGAGTTGCTTCTTGCCAATGTGTTTTCCAAAACAGACAAAACTGCAAACTTATCTTGTTTCACCTGGTCAAAGATGTGTGTATAAGTCCTATGCTGTAAAATAAAAAGAAAATTAAACAAATGTTCTCCATCTCTTTTTCAAAAGTAATACAATTTCAACAAGTTTGGACACACACAAATGTCTTGCCAGAAGAGTATCCATGTAAAAAAACCGTAAGCATATAAGATTTACCAAAGTGTAATATTTGATGAGGGTGTAAAGGGTCAAAAAGAATTTCTACCTATTGATAATGAGAAATTTACCTAATGACTAAAACGAGACCATGACATTAAAATCAAGTTAAGTTGACATATGTCAGGTTGACACATCCACATTACAAGCAATACTGCTGACTTCTCATACCTAGTCAATTTATATCTCAAATATTGTTGATATACCATACTATTGAGAATATGACAAAATAATAAAATAAAATGCTCCGCTGGGCGCAGCTTGATACGACCGCAGAGGTCAAACCCTGAACAGTTGGGGCAAGTATGGACACAACATTCAAGCTTGATACAGCACTGAATTTGGATTGTGATTAAATATTTGACACAGCATAGGTTTCTGACACAGAATGAATGTGGTCTAAGAACTTAAAAAATTTTTAATTTACCTATTCAAACCATATCATTATTATTTGCTTTTATATATAAATCAGAAATAACCAATTTAAAATGGAAAATTTTAAAGAAAAAAAAAGGAAAAAAAGGGAAAAAAAATCCCTCCCCCAAATTTTTTGAACCCCCTTATGATTCATCAACCCTAAACATAATCCCAGCCTTCCCTTTGTGGTATGGTACCTTGCAGTACAATTTCAGAGAGATCCATACACTTGAACACAAGTTATTGTCTGGAAACTAGAAAAATGCTTGTTTTTAGGCCCCTTTTTGGCCCCAAATTCCTAAACGTTTAGGGCAATTACCCCCAAACTCAAACCCAGCTTTCCCTGTGTGATATGGAACCTTGTAGTACAATTTCATATAGATCCATACATTAACACACAAGTTATTGTCCTGAAACTAGTAAAATGCTTGTTTTTTGCCCCTTTTTGGCCCCTAATTCCTAAAATTTTGAGGCAATTACCCCCAAACCCAATCCCAGCCTTCCCTTTGTGGTATGGTACCTTGCAGTACAATTTCAGAGAGATCCATACACTTGAACACAAGTCATTGTCTGGAAACTAGAAAAATGCTTGTTTTTTGCCCCTTTTTTGGCCCCTAATTCCTAAAATTTTGAAGCAATTATCCCCAAAATCAATCACAGCATTCCATTTGTGATATGGAACCTTGTGGTACAATGTCAGAGAGATCCATTCACTAACACACAAGTTATGTCTGGAAGTTACAAAAATGCTTATTTTTGGCCCCTAATTCCTTAACTGTTGGTACCATAACCCCCAAAATCAATCCCAACCTTCCTTTTGTGGTATTGAACCTTATGGTAAAATTCCATAGAGATCCATTCACCTCAACTAAAGTTAGAGTGCGAAAACCAATGTGTCTTCGGACGACGACGACGCCAACGTCATACCAAAATACGAAATTTTGCGGTCATATAAAAACCTAACCACACATTTTTTTCTAAATCTACATAGTTAATGAATAAAGAATATAGGTCATGGTCAGCTTTGAGGTGCCTTACTAATAGGATCATACAATAAGCTATATAGGCATCGAATTGTGTAGTCCTAGGTGAACAGTTCTTGAAATATACAGCTTTCCAGTTTCAAAAGTTACCCTGCCACAAGAAAAGCAGTTGCTATGTCTTGTAATCAAATAATTGATATACCAGCTTGTAGAATTTACATTCGCAAAGTGTTATGTATATACTTGTCGGTGTAAAAGGGATATAATTCCTTTAAACTTTTCTCTAATCTAAATGGTGTAATTCTATAAGCATGAATATATCATAAACATGATTACATCCTAGAAAATTGTGATTTTAAGACTTTTTGTTGTTATGAATTTTAATGAAATGAGTCTACGATTCCAAAAGACCACTAATTTTATAAAAGAAAAAACTGTTACATAAAGATTGCATTAGAATACATTATATTTACCTGATGAAATAAAGGTTTAAAAAAGAAGTTAAAGGCATGAGCCACCTTTCACTGTGAAAGTCTTTGATGGTGTTGCTTTACTTGTTTTGGATCTTGTGAACCTTAAAAAGAAAGAATATGCAAATATTAAAACAGAATTAAAGAAACTATTGTACATTTCAGTATCTTTATAACTAATAAAATCAATATAAAAAGAAGCTTTTCTGATTTTTAGCTGCTATATAATACCAGGAAACTCACTTATAGTGGAAGCCTTTCAAGCATTTCCGTGTTCTGTACCTTTATCCCTATTATTGTTTGGTATTTTGCAATTAAATTTTTTTGGATTTATTTTTTAATATAAAATCTTGAACTGAAAATTGCTACTATGGTCAAACTACTAAGATTCCATAAATCGTCTGATGATTATCTAGATGAACTAACATTTTAATGATTAATAATAATAATTTGTCATATAAATAAAAGTCCAAATTGTGATGTTCAACATTTTGAACTGGTACAAGAGACTCAATGGGGGAAATGAAATGTGCCAAGTGTATATTAATTTCAAAAAAATGTAAACTGTTTAGAGAAATTAACAAAGGGCGTCCTGGTTGCAAGAGTGCTACATTTAACTATGGGTTTCAGACTGGCGTGATTAACTCTAATATTGGTAATGACAGCATGCAAGTATTTTTGACTAATTCATGTATTCCTCCTATGGCAAAAACAACAATGCAGAGAATAACAAATAATGTTTGTGACAAGGTTGTAACACTTGCTAAGAATGAAACCAAACAAGTGGTTGAGAATTTTAGAAGGAAACATCAAAACTTAGGTTTAAATAAAAATAGTCCTGTAAAATTACAAATGGATGGTACCTATCAGAGTACTTATATAAAAAGTAGACATAAAATGGGTAAAAATGCATCACAAGCAATTGGTATTGCCTGTGAAAATGAAACAAACAACCACGATATCATAGGTTATCATTCAATAAACAAACTATGCTGGGTTGGTGCATGTATACTAGATAGTTATGTTGTTGAATGTTGGTCATGAGTACTGCACAGCAAACACTAAAAGGTATGATCCTTTGAGTGAGAAGGATCTTGGGTATGAAAAAGGTAAAAAAAATTGTCAAACTTGATTTACTTGTGGACTATTGTACTACTGATAGGGATGCAAAAAGTGTACAAGGTTTACAAGAAGCAATGCAAGAAATATTTGATCATTTATGGTCAGTAAATACACTTGCAGATACTATACACAGGGGTCAAAGTCAGTTCCCTGAAGTGCTCAAATTTAGTGTCGGTATGTTCCATGGAGCTACAAAGGCCCAAATAATTTATATTAAAAATGAAATAGCTTTTGCCAATGATTTAAAATTACGGTAACACGGAATAATGAAATCATTATTTGCAAAATATAATGGTGACCGAACAAAATTTCCAAATGTTTGCCTCATATTGTTAAGTCTGTGGTAAATTGTTAAAGCGGTAGTTGCGGTGATACATGTAGATGGAGCATAACACTATGTAATGGTGGTAAAAAAACTAGCTGGTGGTACAAATCTATTAACAACAACAGTCATGGCATACAAAATGGGTCTTTGAGACTTTGTTGTCTTATTTTAATAATTATTGTATTTTGTTCATTTATTTTTCTCTATGTTTAACTTTCATTTAGTTCTTTCAGCATGTTTACTTCATTTGATTGACTGTTCCAATTTTCTGACATAGTGAAATGAAACTATCAAGAGTTACTCCCCTTGCACTGTAAATAATGGTAAACACTGGTAAAACAACACATAAATGTTTGTCCTTGAGCTTATAAATTTGAATAAACATGCTTGCATGTTGGTTTCAGTATCTTGGGGTGTGAGGGTGGGGTTTTCTCCCATTTTCATTTTTTACTTGTGTTAAAATCTCATATTTTCTCAAATGATTGATGTGGAGGTAAAAAGTGCAAGGCCTACTTGTACGTTCACTTAAACTTCTTAAATTAAAATCATGACAAACCACAATTTTAAATTCAGCATGCAGTTAGTATAGGTTTTGCCATACACAATATGTGTGGTGCATTGTTGTAAAGCTACACATTTTTTTGCTGGTTGTTAATTTCTGGAGGATCTAAAACAATATGGTCTGCATTCACACACAATGCACTGTGACAAGGGTGTGAGGCATCTAAATTTTGTCTAAATCGGTAGATTTCAACTGCAAATTTTTTGCTAAACATGCTACATTCATTTTTGTTCCTTTGGTATTTGGGTAAGTAACATTGATCATCCCTAAAATATAATTGTTTCTCCTCTGAGTGGCTCCTATCCAATTGGTATTGTCTGAAAATGAAACAGACAATCAGGATATCATAGGTTTCCATTTAATAAACAAACTATGATGGGCTGGTGCATGGTTATGCGATAAAGGTTATGCTGTTGAATGTCCTGATCATGAGTACTGCACAGCAAACACTAATAGGTATGATCCTTTGAGTGAGAAGGATCTTTTTTGGTCTTTGAGACCAACTAAGACAGACAAAATATGAATAGAATCATTGTCAAAAATGAAACTTTCTCAGACCGCTCTAAATCAGATGCAATTTTTCAGCAATACAAACAAGGTTGAGTCCATCAATAGAACAATTTCTACATACCTACCTAAACATAAGAATTTTCACACAATGCCATAGGTTGGCATCTGCAGCAGTCTTGAAAGTCAATAATAAAAGGGATGTTGCATTGGCTAAGACTCTGAAAGCTTTAGGCTGTGCTCTAGATAAAAAGTCTTATGCTGTAGTGGCTCTGAAAAAAATACGTAAACATGAAATACATGATTGTGCATATCAAAAAAGTTTACGAGTCAAATTTAACATGTTACAGGCTTGCAAAAAGTAGGCTATAAATTTCTTGTTAAACAAGAGAGTGCGAAAAAGAGGATATAAATAACATCAGTTAGAACCTAAGCTATGTCAGAATGCAAGTCTTAAAGAATTCATTCCACAGTCATGCAGGTTGTAGTTTTTGGCCATGTTAACATTCGTATTAAAAGGTTACTCAATTTGCTTTTTTCAGCCTTTCAGGAAGCTATTGCATTTATTCATTTATTTACAGTTATTAATATATCTTATCATAAAAAAAAAACCATTTTTTCAGGAATGTATGTGCATGTTTTGAGTTAGTTGTATTTTTTTATATCAAAAAGTTTGTTTCATTTAAACAATTATGAAAATGGGATAATGGTCCAAGACACTAGCTGAAATAAACCTTGTATCAGACACAAATATCATTTCGTATCTCCCAATGCATGCATGCATCCATCCACAATACATGCATCCATTCAAAAAGACATGAAATGAAATAAAATAAAATTTTAAATAAAATAAAACCATGTAAAATGAATATTACAACATTTAGTTAAGCTTTGTAACTTAATGTCATATTTGCAATTATTTTCATTCTGTTATTCTTTATTTTGTTTTTGTTGTCTTATTTTGATAATTATTGTTTTTAGTATTTAACTTTCATTTAGTTCTTTAAGCATGTTTATTTCATTTGATTGAATGTTCCAATTTTCTGACATAGTGAAATGAAACTATCAAGAGTTACTCCCCTTGCACTGTAAATAATGGTAAACATTGGTAAAATAACACATAAATGTTTGTCCTTAAGCTTATAAACTTGAATAAACATGCTTGCATGTTTGTTTCAGTGTCTTGGGGGTGTGAGGGTGGCCTTTTCTACATACCTACCTAAAAATAAGAATTTTCACACAATGCCATAGGCCGTGCATCTGCAGCAGTCTTGAAAGTCAATAATCAAAGGGATGTTGCATTGGCTAAGACTCTGAAAGTTGTAGGCTGTGCTCTAGATAAAAAGTCTTATGCTGTAGTGGCTCTGAAAAAAATACTAAACATGAAATATATGATTGTGCATATCAAAAAAGTTACAAGTCAAATTTAACATGTTACAGGTTTGCAAAAAGTAGGCTATCAATTTCTTGTTAAATAAGACAGTGCGAAAAAGCGGACATAAATAACATCAGTTAGAACCTAAGCTATGTCAGAATGCAAGTCCCAAAGAATTCATTCTACAGTCAGGTTGCAGTTTTTGGCCATGTTAACATTTGTATTGAAAGGTTACTCAATTTGCTTTTTTTAGCCTTTCAGGAAGCTACTGCATTTATTCATTTGTTTATCTATTTATTTACAGTGATTAATATATCTTATCATTAAAAAAAAAACACTTTTTCAGGAATGTATGTGCATGTTTTGAGTTAGTTGTATTTTTTATATTAAAAAATTTGTTTCATTTAAACAATTTATTTATGAAAATGGGATAATGGTCCAAGACACTGAAATAAACCTTGTATCAGACACAAACATCATTTCGTATCTCCCAATGCATGTGTGCATCCATCCACAATACATGCATTCATTGGAAATGCATGCAATGAAATAAAATAAAAATTTTAAATAAAATTAAACCATGTAAAATGAATATTACAACATTTAGTTAAGCTTTGTAACTTAATGTCATATTTGCAATTATTTTCATTCTGTTATTCTTTATTTTGTTTTTGTTGTCTTATTTTAATAATTATTGTATTTTGTTCATTTATTTGTCTCTATGTCTCTACTTTCATTTAGTTCTTTAAGCATGTTTACTTCATTTGATTGAATGTTCCAATTTTCTGACATAGTGAAATGAAACTATCAAGAGTTACTCCCCTTGCACTGTAACTAATGGTAAACACTGGTAAAACAACACATAAATGTTTGTCCTTGAGCTTATAAACTTGAATAAACATAATTGCATGTTTGTTTCAGTGTCTTGTGGGTGTGAGGGTGGGCTTTTCTACATACCTACCTAAAAATAAGAATTTTCACACAATGCCATAGGCCGTGCATCTGCAGCAGTCTTGAAAGTCAAAAATAAAAGGGATGTTGCATTGGCTAAGACTCTGAAAGCTGTAGGCTGTGCTCTAGATAAAAAGTCTTATGCTGTAGTGGCTCTGAAAATATACGTAAACATGAAATATATGATTGTGCATAAAAGTTTCAAGTCAAATTTAACATGTTACAGGCTTGCAAAAAGAAGGCTATCAATTTCTTGTTAAACAAGAGAGTGCGAAAAAGTGGATATAAATTATATCAGTTAGAACCTAAGGTATGTCAGAATGCAAGTCCCAAAGAATTCATTCCACAGTCAGGTTGTAGTTTTTGGCCATGTTAATATTTGTATTGAAAGGTTACTCAATTTGCTTTTTTTAGCCTTTCAGGAACCTACTGCATTTATTCATTCATTTATCTATTTATTTACAGTGATTAATATATATTATCATTAAAAAAACACATTTTTCAGGAATGTATGTGCATGTTTTGAGTTAGTTGTATTTTTTATGTCAAAAAGTTTGTTTCATTTAAACAATTATGAAAATGGGATAATGGTCCAAGACACTGAAATAAACCTTGTATCAGACACAAATATCATTTTGTATCTCCCTATGCATGCATGCATCCATCCAGAATACATGCATTCATTCGAAAAGACATGAAATGAAATAAAATAAAATTTTAAATAAAATAAAACCATGTAAAATGAATGTTACAACATTTAGTTAAGCTTTGTAACTTAATGTCATATTTGCAATTATTTTCATTCTGTTATTCTTTATTTTGTTTCTGTTGTCTTATTTTGATAATTATTGTATTTTGTGTTTAACTTTCATTTAGTTCTTTAAGCATGTTTACTTCATTTGATTGAATGTTCCTATTTTCTGACATAGTGAAATGAAACTATCAAGAGTTACTCCCCTTGCACTGTAAATAATGGTAAACATTGGTAAAACAACACATAAATGTTTTTCCTTGAGCTTATAAACTTGAATAAACATGCTTGGGGTTGTGAGGGTGGGCTTTTCTCCCATTTTCATTTTTCACTTGTGTTAAAAACTCGTATTTTTTCAAATGATTGATGTGGAGGTAAAAAGTGCAAGGCCTACTTGTATGTTCACTTAAATTTCTTAAATTAAAATCATGACAAACCACAATTTTAAGTATGCAGTTAGTATAGGTTTTGGTATGCACAATATGTGTGGTGCATTGTTGTGAAGCTACACATATTTTTCGCTGGTTGTTAATTTCCCTGAGGTTCTAAAACAATAATTAAGGTCTGCATTCACACACAATGCATTGTGACAAAGGTGTGAGGCATCTAAATTTTTGTCTAAATCGGTAGATATCAACTGAAAAATTTTTGCTAAATGTGCTACATTCATTTTTCTTCTTTTGCCATTTGGGAAAGTAGTATTGATTATCCCTAAAATATAATTGTTTCTCCTCTGAGTGGCCCCTGTCCAAATATTGCATGCCCCATTTTTTGCCTCTTCACTGTTTAAAAGCACAAAATTTGTATATTTTTGATAAAAATGAAATGTATTGGAAGCCATTTTGTATTGTTTTTAAATTAAATAGCTCACTTGCTTGACCTGGAGCCAAACAATCCATTAATGGCTAAATGCCTCAATGGCAGTTGTAGCTTTACGTTTAGGCATACATTGTGATGATGGATGTAGTAAGGCTATATCTGTTCAATGGACTTATGCTACCATTCCAGAATAACGACAGGGCACTATTGACATCCTTTAAAAGAATTTCCCCTTTCTTTTCATCAATACTGCAGCTAAAAGTTTGAGATAACTATACAAAGAACAAAAATTAAATACAACATCAAAGTACCATTTGTGAGTAAGCTAACATATACAATCTGCTTATAGTAAATATTTCAAATTGACTTGACCTTAGACCAAGCGACCTCTAAATCAATAAGGATTTTCCTCTTATTAACTGTTCACACAAATACCATGTTGGGTTACAGTCCCATATGAAATGTTTGAATGAACATCCTGAAACCATTTTACTGTACAAATTTCTAACTATTTTTTGAATCTTGACCTTGACTGACCTTACATATTGATTTCAAAATCAATAGGGATTGCTTTATTATTTCATTTGATCATATAACCAAGTACGGTTGTAATCTCCTATATATTATTTCATCTTTTTTAATAATAATCTGGAACCCCCTTTTTTTGCACAAGTTTTGGTCTATTTTTAGTAACTATGACCACGACATTCGATGTATTTACCTCAAATCAATTGGAATCATCTTTATATATTTATATACATATATATTCAAATGACTTGCCACTGTTCATAATGGATATAATTGCATTGCATTTGAAAAGTGTCTTGTTAAAATTAATATGTATTTAATGGTAGTTCAGTGGTTGTCCTTGATTCATGTCTGTCATATTAGTTTTTTCTTCAATTGTTATGTTATAAATCTCTCTTCTCTCTTAATTGAATTGTTTCACATTTTTCATATTGGGGCCTTTTATAGCCGACTTTATGGTATGGATTTTTCTCATTATCGAAGGCTGTACAATTGCCTTTAATTGCTAACATCCATTTCATTTGAATTTTGGTAGATAGTTATCTCATTGGCAATCATACCATATCTCCTTATTATTATACTTACATCTTGACTGAATGTCAGTGAATCAGTTTCAACTGTAATGGGTTGTTCAATTTGTCTTCGCAGAGGAATCATTATCCTGTAAGAAAATGTTCTATAAAACAAATAATCCTTAATACATTGATGTTGGTGTTTGCTTGCTTAATGACAAGTAGCAAATAATTCATGCATATTCGGGATGAGAAAAATCTAAATAATTAGTCAATATATAAAATAGGTAAGTTTGGCTTAGGGGATCAACTAGGGAATGTACAATGATTTCTATTATTTATCCACAGTGAAATTGCAAGTGATTTATTTTTGTGTGCACTCACAGAACATGTGTTACCCTATCACATTCTGTATGTGCAAGTACTAAGCCAGAATCATGCTATCCATTAGTTGTAGATCTCTGTCTACCATAATGTTTTTGTTTATTGTTGCCTTTAAATTGCTTACATTCTTTCATTTCAAGGCTTTTTTATAGCTTTAATACTATCTGATAAGGGTTTGCTTATTATCAAAGAAGGTAGCCCAAGATATTCAAAACTTTACACTTTTGGGCTTTAATGGATATTTTTCTTATTGACATTGTATTGTACCACCAGATCTCCTTATTTTCATATATTAAAGATAAATTTGCTATTGATTAATAATTTTTTTCACCCATCAGGATAAAAAGTATTGTGTGTTTCTACTTTTCTAAAATTCATTAATTTCAATAAAATTGTCATTAATACATTTCCATAAATCTTTTTAAAGTTTACCTTAAGGTGGTACCAAACACTACAGGGAGATAACTCTGTAAAAATCAGCTAAATGTTTTAATCACGTTGTTTTGTTGAGGAAATATTACGCTTCTCAATGATCAAAATTAGTGTTTGTCAAACTGCTATATAACCAACGAAATTTTTCTGATAAAGTGGTTGGTTCAAATTCTTTGAAATTTTTATATTTTTGTCAAAGGGTCAAAGTAAACATTATGTCAAAATTTTATGAAAATTAAACGAGCCAAATTAATTTTAGTCAAGGTGTTGGGTACCACCTTAATTTGGCTTTTAAAGTAGTTGGAACATAGACATATTTTACGAACACTATTTATTATGCTTAAACAGCTAGATGCTTCTAAATTTTCTTTTTCTGTTGTGTCCAAATTTGAATGCAGAAATACATGAGAAATAATCTTAAAGGAAATACAATTAGGAATCACACAATAGTAAAATACAAAATGAATAACAATTTAAAACATATCTATTCATTTTGTTAAAAAAAAATGATTTTGGCATCATGGTATTCAGTGGTTGCTCTATGTCTTGTGTGTGCAAAAATATGTCTTTTTTCATATGTAATTTGTATGTCTTGTAGTTGCAACGGTATTTTTTACAATAAGTAGCTGTGCCAAAAGGGCATGAGACAACGGGGAAACTGTTGACAAAATGACTATATTCTTCTCTGTATGAATATTGCCTTTATTATAATATGAATGTTAAAAAAAGTATGGAACAGCATACGAGAAAATGGTCAATATAAAGAAAGTCTGCATTAACTAATTCAACCAAGAGTCATTACATTGTAAAGTTTGTAGTAATTTTATCAAAGCTCTCTATAACAATCAACTTGTAAAAAAATGCCTTGAATAGGAGGTTAAAGTCCCAATATTTTTAATATTCACAAATTTACAAATTTATATAATAACTTTACCTTCTGTATCCTCAATTGTGGAAGGAGCTACATTTTTGCTGCAACTTCTGCATTATCCTGGAATATAATATTTTAAAATAATGCAAACTGCAGACAAGATCAAAACTTTAAAGCAATCTCAAGGTTCTTTTGCAAAACTCTCTATTGTTTCTACTATGTGTGATTTTCACCTAACTAAATGGGTCATATTGGAGTACCAACAGTGTGCTATCATTAAATGATTACTGCAGTAACTTATATTTCATTAAAACATTTTGGCATTGCACAAGGTCATGTTTTTCTCTGTTTATGACATCTTTACACTAAATCCATTGGATGTTGGATGTGTACTGCTTGATATTTTCGTCTTAGATGCATGATTTTTTTTATTAGTTGTTATTGGCTTTGAACTAGCTGTCAGCTTGGTGTCTTTTGATGTGGGGATGTATAAGTACCTGTCCACGTCCACTCTGTGTTTTTGTTAGATGTATTTCTATTTGTATCCACCTGATGAGTTAAGCCTTTTTCAACTGATTTTTATAGTTTGTTCTTATGTTGTACTCTTACACCAATGTCCCAGGTTAGGGGAGGGTTGGCGCCTTCAAACTAGTTTAACCCCGCCACATTCTGTATGTGCCTGTCCCAAGTCAGGAGCCTGTAATTTAGTGGTTGTCGTTTGTTGCTGTGTAACATATTCGTTTTTATAAGGCCGTCAGTTTTCTCGTTTGAATTGTTTTACATTTGTCATTTCATGCCTTTTATAGCTGACTATGCGGTATGGGCTTTGCTCATTGTTAAAGGCCGTATGATGACCTATAGTTTTCTGTGTCATTTGGTCTCTTGTGGAGAGCTGTCTCATTGGCAATCATAGCACATCTTCTTATTTCTATATGTAGACTAAAAATAATCCAGACTTTCTCGTTTTTTGTATAGATTAGACCAGTTTTCCCGTTTGAATGGTTTTACACTAGTAATTTTGGGGGCCCTATATAGCTTGCTGATTCGGTATGAGCCAAGGCTCCGTGTTGAAGACCGTACTGTGACCTATAATGGTTTACTTTTATAAATTTTGACTTGGATGGAGAGTTGTCTCATTGGCACTCATACCACATCTTCTTATATCTATTATGTCTGTCATATTTTTTTTTTCATAATTTGTTTTGTTATAAATCATGTTGTTGAAGTTTTCTCATTTGAATTGTTTCACATTATTCCTCACTTTTTTCTCATTGTTGAAGGCTGTACAGTGACCTATGATTGCTTACTACCACTTCACTTTAACTCTGGAAGATACATTGTAGTTGTCTCATATGTAATCATACCACATCTCCTCATTTGTATATCAAATATAATATAAAGTGAATTAAAAGTAAGGATGCAAGAACACAAAAATAAATATCTATCACACAATTCAGAAAATATAAAAGAACTATTTTTTCAGAGAGATGTGAAATAAATATTAAGGATCAGAAACAATTTCTTTCAACCCCCTATTTAGTTTACATACTAATGGCTACCAAGGGGTCTCTAGGTCTCAATATATGATTCTAGGTACAGTGAACTTGGGATTTCATAAAAACTCATAACATGTACAGAACTTAATAAACCTAGGATCAAAATGTTTAAAGAAATTTCTAATATTGTCCCCTGTTTTAATTCAATGAGTAATGAAAACAAATTTGATTATTATATTTTCTTGTGAAGAATGTGATTTCTCTAATTCTTACCCTGTTTATCCTTTTATTACATTGGTTGCAATGAATTACATTGATTTCCCAGTGAAATAAAAACCGATAATTTCACATGTGAAATAAACGTGGTTATTTCACTCCTCTGACGTCATACAACAATAGGCATTGTCATAACGTCGGATCAAAACAAATTCTGAATGCGTAGAAAAAGATATAGTTCCTTATGTTTTCTACTTTAATTTCATAAAAAAGCCATTTGCCAATGTAATAAAAAGAATAACTAATCAAAGAATTCAAATATCGAAAAATATTCAACTCGTGACCGAACAACACTGATAATTAACTCATGCGCTACGCGCATTCGTGAATTAATGTGTTGTTCGGTCACTCATTGAATATTTTTCTCTATTTGAATTCTTCAATTAGTTATTCTATAATTCCTGACCTGTTGATTATTTTTATTTCATCAACATATAGTCTCAGTTCTTCACTGGTCAAAATTTGATTATGACGTCAAATTTACTTGCTTTCCTCTGAATTTCCCAATGTAACGTCATGAAAAAAGACAACCATGCCTGACGACGTCACATAGAAAGAACACATCTTTTTGTAGATCATTCGAAAAGAAGGATTAAGATTAACTGTATATCGTCTAAAAATCATTAAAAAAAACAGATTCCACCACCAAATCTCGTGTAATAGGATATTTATCCACTCTCGACAGTTAAATTTTAAATATTTAAAACGCTTGGCGAGCCTTGGGTTTTAAATTTGAAAATTTAACTGCCTCAAGTGGATAAATATTGTATCACACTTGATGCAGTGGTAGAATCTTTATATGTATTGTAGTTATCATGTTTGTTTATCTTGGCCTGATTTGTGTTATGTGGCCTTGTAGTTGTTTACAAAATAATGTTTTAACTGTGCGATTTGGAAATCACTGGAACAATCATAGATACTGGTGGAATGATTAGAACTTTCTATTTGACTTGCATAACAATCTGGATGTAATTTAAACTTCTATAGATTTCTAGGAGTTTCCCTTCTACAGTGTTCTAGAAGTTTTCGTGACAACTATATATATATATATACAGACACCAAAGTTAGAATTTCAGTTCAGACATTAATATACTTGTATTCTCAGATTGACACTTTTATTTACGAACAACATCATTCTATCCTTTCTAGGAATTTTATTCTATTTCTAAGTTATGGTCACTAATTCTCAACTTAGTGAAGCATTTTCTTACACAAAAGTTATTGGAAGCTAAATAAAATTTTCTCTATCCAAGTTAAGTTTTATGTTTTTATAAAAGTAACAGTTTACTATTTTCATCATAACTATTTATTCTATTTTCAAAAATATTTTAAATTTTTCTTTAAATTCATTTTAATTAAGGGCTTCAAAGACTTTATTTCATTCAAGTCCTACAATTATTAACTTTATCTAAAAGGTCTGGGTTGGGTGAAATATTCTTTGCATATGTATACCAAGAATAAGTACCATGGGAGTCCAGCAGTTTTGACAATATAAATGCTTCCTTAATTAAGTGAAGGATTTATATTTTTAGAATTTAGTCTTGAGGTAAGATAGAGACTGTGAAAAAATAAAATGTTCAAGGGGGAGTCTTCCTAGTTCTGCTCAGACTGCTATATTTACCGTGGTTTTTCTGGTGCCCAGCAAAAATTTACAAAAATCAATGTGAATCTTTTCAAATGGAGTTTTATCAATAAATGAAATTTGATCCAAGTTTTTATTATTTCTATCAGCTCTTATCTCATGTATCTTAGCTGTGTATCATGTTAAATAGGTATCCATAGAGGATATCTCAGAGTTATAAGTTAAAACTGGTTGAACTAATTTATCAAAAAGATTACTAGAAATTTCTATTGGGAGATTTCCCAATAAAGCTACCTTGGCTTTAACCGTAAACATGACTTTTCTTGATTTTTTCGCTAGGTCTTCTTTACTTGAAATTAGGTTACCATTGCTCTTTATAAGAGTTCCTAGGAATTTATATTCTAATACATTTTTTATCATATAATTTTATTTCCATTGTAGTTAAGAAATGAAACTACACTTTTGGCAGGATATGGCTGTAAAATCATGGTTTTAGTTTTATTTATATTCAGAGTAAGTTGCCAATTTTCACAGAAACTATTAAATTTATTTATACTGTTCTGTAAACCTTCTTTACTTTCTGATATCAAAAGTACATCATCTGCAAAAGGTAGTGATCCGAGGGTTAAGTCTACTTGTTTTGGTGGCATGGAGTCTTCAGAACAGAAGATATTATCCAGGTAATTTATAAAAATATTAAAAAGAGTGGGACTAATGGAGTCCCCCTGTTTTACTCCTCGAAAGGTTTCAAAGAAATTGGAACAAGTATTGTTCCATTTCAAGGAAGTTTCAGTTTTCAAATAGCTGGTTCTTTATAATATTAAATATATTTTTGCCCACTCCAATTTTTGCTAATCTATACAGTAAACCTCTTCTCCACAATGCATTTTGAAGGTCAATAAAACAAATATATAACTTACTATTATTCTTATATAAATACTTATTTATCAATGTCTTAATAAAGTAATATAAAGAGACTATCAGTTGTCCTGTGGTTTTCTCTGAAACCAAACTGTGTGTTTTTGAGTATTTATCTTTCATTAGTGTTTTAATCTTTCATTTAAAGTACTGCACTAAATATTTTTGATATGCAATTAATAAGAGAAATCCCTCTATAATTTAATGGATCTGACTTGCTATGTGGGATTTATTCCACTGAACAGGATAGTGTCCAGTTTTTAAAATAAGGTTAAATAATTTTGCTAAAGAGTTTAATGTGAGCATACTACTATGTGTAAATGTTTCATTTAAGATGCCATCTGGTCCACTTGCTTTACCTTTCTTTAATTTATTCAAAATATGTTTTATTTCTTTTATCATTATAGGTTTATCTGTTACTTCATTAAAAGATAGATTATTTTCAATGTTTTGTAGGACATTGATAATATTATTTTCGAAGTTATAATTTACTTTATTACATTTTCCTTGGTTTTTATGCATCCATTTTTTTCTTTTTAACATTTTTTTTAAAGGATTTCAGTTGATAAAAATACCTTTATTCTAAATTATAATTATTAGGCTCTTTTCTAATCTGGCTTGCTTTGGAAGCTTAATTTTTTTCTTATATGGTAGGACAAGTCAGGGCTTCTATTATTTTATAGTTAGAATCACCTGTCCACTTATAACCTTTTATCTCTTCCCATGTCGAGGAATGTTAAAAAAAATGATGTCTGATTAAACTTACAATTCAATATCAATTTAAGTTGTGCATGGTCAGACAAATAATCGAAATAATTAGTCATAAAATA